TGCTTCTAACTCATGGTCAACTAAGCTAAGTAAATACTACCTAGCCAATGCAGGTTATGTGAATACCTCACATTTTATTGCCCCATATTGTGGAGTTCGTTACCATCGTAAAGAATATGAGCGTGGACAAAGTGCTTCACAAGACTACAATGAGTTATTCAATTTGAGACATTCTTGTCTAAGAAATGCTATAGAGCGCATATTTGGTGTACTTAAAAAGCGCTTTGCTATGATCTCAAGGCCACCTACATATCCAATTAAAAAACAAGTCGAGTTAGTTATTGTAATGTGTTGTATAATTTTATTCTGAAGGTGTTGACTGGCTCTATGAGGAATATGACAAGGAAATCATGTTCGAGTACATCGACTAAAGGATTTTGAAAAGAAAGTAATCCACGTGATGCGGGTAGTCGATTGTGAGACAACATTGCAAATGATATGTGGGCTGATTATTATAATAGAAAAAGAAGCTAGTTTGTTGTTTGGTTGATGATATCTTTATTTCTTTTCTTTTTTAAATAACTTCTTCACTATTACCTTACTTAGGAATTATGTCTCTATATTGATTTTCTAATGTAGCAAGTTTCTTATATGAAATGTCAATAAACTTTCAATTCAAAACAAATGGTCTCTCTCTATTCCTCTCATGTAATATTAATATGTTACGCATAATAAAGGTTGGATCTCACTGATGCTCTCCCTCTCTTCTTTTCTATTGCATTATGCTTTTATAAATTATTGGTTTTTATAAATAATTTTTACGAGGAATGCTTATCTTTAATAGCCAGAGAAAATACAAGTTTATTATAAATCAAATATGTGCTTAATGAAAAAACTTCAATTTGTTTTGATTTTGTCTTCCAAAAAATCATCTATCTTAAATCTTAAAAAAAAGGTAGATAGTCAAACATGCACAGAAAGATACATATCAGGATAACATATATATACATCCAAATACTTTCTCGGAAACCTTTCAACCTTACATTCCATTTCTAAAGCCAAAACCTCCACCACCGCTTGAGAACACTCAACACCCACCAAAGAAGTTTTCAAAACATTAACTTTTAACCCCAAAGCCATCTCACAACATTGTAGGGTTCTTTTATCCCTCAAATTCCCTCTAACTTAGCACCACAAAAAAGTAGGGTATCATCAACATACTGTAAATGTGAAATAACCAATCCTGCATTGTTAGCAGCCTTAAACACAATAAAACATCCTCTTAATTGTATGTTTGAAATCATGAGGCTGAAATCCTCAGTCACCATTGTAAATAAAAATGGTAATAGTGGATCCCCTTGCTGTAGTCCTCTCGAAGATTTAAAAAATCCTTTGGGGCTCTTGTTAACTAGAACCAAGAAGTGAGCACTAGTAAGACAACCACATATCCAAAATCTGCATTTCTTTCCAAATCCCATACATCTCATGATTTCCTGCAATACACTCAATTCCACCCTATCGTAAGCCTTTCTCATATCCAATTTCAAAACAATCTCAGATTCCGTGCTCATCTTACCCCGAGTGGATATATTCTTATGCAATCAGAACCCCATCAAAAATAATCTGATCCTTAGTGAAAGCCATATGAGGCCCTGATATCATAAACATAAGAACCATTTTCAACCTTTTTGCTAAGATTTTTGCAATCATCTTATAAAGGCTAATACGTCGCACATCTGAAATCCTAAAATAAACGTGTTTTTTACAATTAAAGCAATGTATCCTGCATTAATCCCTTGGTGTAGAACCCATTTTATAAAGAACTCTGTCACCATCAAAAGATGATCCCTTTTCATAATATCCCAAAACTTCTAAAAGGAAATCAGCGGGAACCCATCCGGTCTTAGTGTCTTATTACTAGGCAAAGCAAAGACCACCTCTTTTAACTCCTTTTCCATTATCATTTTTTTCAAGTAAAGTATTGTCATTTGAGAATGGGGTTGAGGTCATGGTGATAGCACCACTTGTGCCCCAACTAAGATTTAGGCTTCCATTTTCACCTAAGGCATTAAAGAACCACTAACGATTTCAAAAAATGGGCAGGGGCTCGTCATCCCCACAGAATTACCAAAAAAAAAAAAAAAGTGCTATGTTACTAGATAGCCATTTGAAGGGAACCCCTTGGTAATGTACTTGAAAAGACATCTTACTCATAATTTTTTTTTGAAAATGTTTAATAAATTTCATTTCCCAGCCTTCGGTATCTTTTTCCCCTATTCTAAAAGACAATGCCTTTAACATCATTTTTGTCTTCTCCTTGAGTTTGTTATTGCTTGAAAGAACTTGGTACTCACATCTCCCTCCTTCAGCCACTTAACTCTTGATCGCTGCTTCCAATAAATTTCTTCTAGCATATGGTTCTTATTCAGCTCAACCAACATACGCCGTTTTTCGTTCTCCTCCTCGGTATTAGCATGCCCATGATTTTGGATGGATGCTTCAATTAAGTCAAGATGAGATAAGATATCATTCAACTTATTTTGGACCAAAAAATTATTGTCCCTCTTCAATTGCAACAATATTACCTTAATATTTTTAGCAATTTTTTATACACCTAAAAGCCAAACCAACCATAAACAATTGTATTACACAAAGTGTTTTTAACCATCATTCTCTTCCAACCAAGTCTTCTCCATCCGAAATGGCTTGAGCCCACTCAATGAACTTTCTGTTTGCAAACTAATGGTACATAATCTGAAGCTAATTTTGTTAATGCATTGACACGCACTAAAAGATAGCATCTCTTCCAGCTTTTCGAAATAAAAAACCATATATCTTGCTCATAATCCACTTATGAGAGCAATTATTAGCCTGTGTAAATTTTGCACCATGAACAGGAATATCAACCGGTTCATTTTGCATTATAAAGTTGTTAAAATATCTGACACTAGAATTGATTGGAATAGCAATAGAAATTTCATCAGGCCAACGTATCATGTTAAATTCCCCTCCGATACACCACGAGAAGTTAGAAGAAATTGCCATAAAAGAAATTTCAGCCAAAAAACTTCTTTCATAGCATTAAAATTAGGGCCATAAACATTGAAAAGAACCCATCTAGAACGTATACATGGACTATAAAAAACAACAGCTATCAATCTTTCCTTAACCACAATATCTACCCAAGTCAAAATTGAAGAATCTCACATAATCCACCCCCAGAAGACGCAACAACATCTATCCCATCAAAACCAACAGATCCACCCCCGCACACACCCCTTACACTACTTGGGAAGTTTAGTTTCTTGGAGCATTACAATTTCCAAACTATGATGCCTGATAAACATCAAATATGATGCCTGATCAACATCAAAACCTCCTTTTTTTTCTATGAGCCCCCCCCCCCCAAGGCCCTTCACATTTCAGTTATGGACTTTTCAACCCCCCCCCCCCACAAGGCCCCTCACATTCCAGTTATGGATTTTCAAGCCCCCCAAGGCCCTTCACATTCCAGTTATGGATTTTCATAGGGACCAAAAGATGAAGCACCATCTACCACCGCCCCATCCTCAGAAGTAGTCTCGCTGTTATCAGTCAACACTGTGAACTTCTCTTTGTCTATCCTCCAACACCACTCCCAACTTGAGCACGACTTGCTCATTTTAATGCAATCCTCAGAGAGGATCGAACCCCCTTACCATTTTCCCACGCCTGAGCTTTGCCATTATCTTTAACGATTCCCTTCTTATTGATCTCTCCATCCTTCTTCTCAGCTACAACAATCTCGACCTTTTTCTTCTTACACCACTCTTTCATAGTTTGTAAAGCTTTGCCAATATGGACCTCAAAATAAGCCCCTATGTCCGAAGAACATTTCTTCAAGAGCTTTGTCCTCATTCTCCATAGGATTGTTATTCTCTAAACCAACAGATGCTTTTTCATGATCAGCCCCGTCAACCTCCTTTTCCACCATTTCCGCATGCAACACTTGTAGAGGTTGAGCTCCAAATCACCTCCCCATCCGAGCCCCCTTCAAGTACGCAACCAAAGGAAAGGAAAAAAAAAAAAGTAAAAAAAAGAAAAAGAAAAAGAAAGAAAAAGTATTAAAAAAAAAAAGAAAAAAAAAGAAAGAAAGTAAATTTTCTGAGTTCATCTCTGTGTTGTTTGATCGAGTTTGTTGTCCTGTTACTCAATAATGTCTATTTTCGTCTGCGAGCTACTAAATCCGTCTCAAATCCACACCAAGTTATGTTGGCTCTTCCAAGTGCCATGTTGTTCTCTCAACTGTCTCGACTGCTTTGTCTAGAATTTTTTAATCTACTTTGATATGGCCCTCAGTTCTTAAAGCCATATGTTCTTGAGACTTGTTATCGGTCGCTGCTTTATGTACATGTTGATCAATCAATTTGAGCATGGCAACCACTGTACTTACCACTCCTGCTGTACACTTGAAGATCCAACTGCTTGTTTCCTCAATTAATATTGTTGTTCTCTCATAACATCTTGAGTTTGATGGAGAGTGTGAAAAGAAAGTATATATTGTGTATCAGGTTAATATGACAGGTGTATATTGTAATCTGTATATCTGAGAAGGGTAGATGCAATATCTTGTATTTATGATAAGTTTAGGAATAGTATAAGATTTATTTATATTATTGTCATTTGTTTATAAAAACAAGTTTGTATATTCATATGTTTAATGGACACTGGGTCTCTTCAGAGAAACTCGAGGCTATCCACAAAATCAACATTATGAAGAAAATAAAAAAAAAAACTCAAATCAAGTAGATATATAAATACTAAAAAATTTTAAAAATGAAAGGTCCAAAAAATTTATTGTGAAATACACTTATATTATTTTCTTTTCTTTTCTTTTTATATTCATACATCTCGATCTGATAATCAATTAGAGAGTTTTCCAACATCAAAACATTCAAAACAAACCTATGTTTTTTTAGGCGCATTATAATTCTACATTTTGAATTAACCTTGACCTTATATGAACGTCATCCTTGCTTGTATATTATAAAAATTTCACGTATCCTTATCTCTGTGGATAATGGCATTTTTGGCAGTTTCATTAGCTTTCGACTCGTCCAAGTGGGCGAGGCAAAATCACGGGAGGAGTGACAGAGTCCAACTTCTTCGTTTACAGGAGTACTGAAGCTATTCGTAGTGGTGGTGCTAGTTGTGGCGCTAGATAGAGAGAGGATAATTGAAGGAAGAGAAAGATTCTAGCTCTGCTGATAGAGGGAGAGGGAACCAGAAATGCAGGTCCCGTCTTTATAGCCTCTGGAAATTAAAACAATGGCTTTTGCAGCCCCTTTCTCCTGTTCCCTGCTCTGCTTTTCTCCTACAAACCTTTCTAAAACATTCCTCCGTCCTTTTAATGGCAACCCAACTTCAAATCTCTGCACAACTCAAAGACTATTGGGTAGAGGCATAAGAAATGGAAGACGGTATACAGAAATAATCGGAGTTTCTGAGAGCTCTTCTTTTCTAGGTTCCAATGAACCTGCAATAAAGGCTTCTGGTTTAGGAAGAGATGATGGAGAAGAACTTTCAAAGGCGACTCTGTTATGGAGGGCGGTTAAGCTTCCCATTTATTCAGTGGCTTTGGTTCCTCTCACTGTATGTTGAATTTATGTTCCTCCTTTTAAAATGTTGAATATTTGTAAAAGATTTTTTTTTATATACTTTTTGTTCAGTTTTTGCACTTGGCTGTTTGCTATAGTTTTACTTTTGCAAATTTGGTTTCAAATTTCCCTTCTTGATGCTTATGGATCCTTAAATATCATTAAGAGATCCTCGGTTTTGAGTTACGACTTGTCTGGTAAATTTATGGTGAAGGTTTGTAGGCAAATTGGTTTGGTGCTCTGCAAGATGAAATTTTTTAGTGCCCGAATCACAATGGTAGTATCTCTAATATTCTTAGAATTTATGTGGTGGGGAACTTGCGTTTCTTCAAACTGTCATCAAACCTTTTGGAAATTAGAGATATCTAGCTGGCAAGTAGGTTCATATTTGTTATCGTTATTCATATTTGTTATCTTTATTGGGAATTTGAGGATAATCTGCTTCATGGAACTTGTTTCATGATTGAGTTAATGCTCAATCATCAATTATATTAATCTAGAAAGCTCTTATATCAACCTTAGGAAGTTTGTAAGTGACTACTCATGAACGCCATTATCTTCATGATCACATTCATCCGCTTCATTGTGATGGTCATGTCATGATCGCATCCATCAGCTTCATTATGATGGTCATACCATGATCACATTCATCAGCTTCATTATGATGGTCATGCAAGAGTCGATAGTTTACACTTAACATAAGAAAAAAAAGAAAACGAAAAAGCATAATAGCCCCTAGTTATCAGATTCATAAAAACACATAAACCATTCCCAATATCCTCCAAACTATCAATTTTTTAGTCATGTTTTTTGGCTACAAGCTCGTTGTTAGTTTGCTACGAGCTTATATGGCTCAACTCTATTGAAATTTCCTTGTGAAAATTCCAAATCACTGCTTAACTTGAGGGGTGCCACAAAATGGCATTTCATATTCTCATATTTACTCCACAAGCACTTGCTAATCCCAGGGATGATAAATGCATTAGACTTCATTTATCAGGATAAAAGACCATAATGCCAATAATTTTGAGAAAAACCAGAGTTGATTCGCTATCACTGTCATATGAAAATGATAAACAGTGGTGGAGAATGACTGGGACCCACTAGAACAAGACAAGATCCCCATCGTGGGTACACTGCTTCCATTACTATCCATCATCATAATTTTTTCAATGAGGATCTCAAGGGAAAGGGTTTACCACCGTTTGCTTGTATGCAATCTATGCTTGGGTACTTAATTTGTTTTGTGCAGAGTTGGTTTGTTTTTTTTTAAATTGTTATCAGTGATTTCTCTAGATTTAGATGGTTATATCTTACCAGAAAATGCAAAATTTACTTGGTTGTGGCTTAATGAAAAGAAAATATTACTTCATTTTATTTTATGAAACACTAATTAGAATTGCATTTTTCCATAAAATCTGACCAAGCATATGTTTGTACAAGTTGAAGAGTTTGCACAAATTGCACGGTCTAGTTCACCATAAAACACTCCCTTGACTTTCAAGTTGACATAATGGGGTTGGTGAACTGAAAAATGAAGATAACATGGAAACAAACTACACTCATTGTTGATCTTAACATTCTTATAGCTGTTGGGGTAATGTTGATGCTTGAAGGGTGCATATGCACCCATCAATGGTTCAGATTGAACCTAGTCTCACTCAACAGCTTCAAAACAATTTCTTTTTTCTTCTTTTTTTATTTTTTTATTTTTTATTTTTTTATAATTTAATATTTATCTAAAATTTTTGATGTAAATTATTTTTTATAAGGGGAACCAAATAAAAATAATAAAAAATATTTTTAACAAAAAAGATTGACCAAAATACCCATACTTGTTTAAAATATTTTATTACTTTTTTTATTTGATTCCCCTTATAAAAATTAATTTATGCCCTAAATTTTAGATAAATATAATATTAAAAAAAAAAAAAATTGGCTGTTGGATATGGCCTTCTTGAATCTGTGCCATTGGATAGGTGCTTGTGCACCCTTCCAATCATCCACATGATGTGGACGGAAGACTTTCCTCTCGAGGTATTGAGTTCCATGATGCAAATTATTGATTGGTAGAGTTACGATTCTATTTGTTTAATATTTTTTTTGTTGAACATCTTGCAGAAGAACCTTGATTGCATGCATATTAAGGTGTTCTGGTTTTTGCTAATAAGCATTCTTGGCCAATGCTTCACAATATTTTTGTTATGTATGCTGTGTTCTTTTGGTGTTTCACCGTTGGAGAAACTTAATAGCTATTCATAGGTTTACCTAGTTGATTAGGGAGGTTGTCATTTTTATAGTTCCGATGAAAATTAGGCTTTCTTGTTATGTTTCTTTTAAAGGGGCTCTATTCTTAAAGCTTTTTGATCTCTAATCTGATCAGAGCAGTGTTCGTAAAATTGAACCGGCCTCGGAAACCTGCCAAGGGCCAGTACCGAGTAATCGGTAAACCGGCCTTTTTGGGCAAGCCCCGGCCGGTCAAAAAAGTTTTAAAAAAATAGTAAAAAATCTAAAAAGTAAGAAGAGTATATTGCATGCTTGATTAAATAAAGCACATCCAAATGAAGTTGAAAATTAGTGAAAAAAATGGATTTAAAAAAATTGATTTGTGCCTAGGGATATTTTTGAAAATTTTCAAAAAAGATGGGAAAAATGTAAAAATAAGTATTAATGGCCAAAACACTTTCCAATCTTTGCCAAAATGATGAAAGACATTCAAAAACGCATTACAAACAAATCCCTTATTTTTTGGGATTTTATATAATTGTTTTTGAATTTGTTTTAAAATACCTGATCACCAAATCAACCAGCGACCGGTTCTGATCTAACCGGGCGGTTCCAATTTGAACTGCCCGATTCTGTGAACACTGGATCAGAGTGCACCATATTTGTTGATCTTTCTTCATATTGCCCTGATATTCGTATTATAGCTAACTAAATTTGCTGCTGCATGGTTTGAGATGTGCTCAAAGTCTGTTGGTGTGTGATACATAAAAATTTGATAACTCTATTGATCTAGCTCTGTCATCTGATCCAAGTGTAAATTCTGACAAATACATCAGGTATATTCTTTCACCATGCATTTCGTGGTTCTGTATCTCTTCATTAATCCTATTGCAGCTATGTTTAGTAGCCTTCACTTAGTTGTCAATCCACTTTTGTTGCTTTTCTTTCTTCCTGTTAGTTGCCTCTTTCTACAAGTAGATAGGAATACATAGTTCCCGAAAAGTGTAAACAAGACATGACGGCCATACTAGAAGAAATTAATGCATTTAAGCAAAATAATACATGAGATTCAGAGAGCTCCTCTAGTTGATATGATTCATTTATTTTTTGAGTAGATATGGATCTAATTAATTGTAAGTTTTTAGCTTAAGGCTCATCCAGTGGCCGAATGAGAGTGTGGTAAGTTACGAAGAAATGTTTTAGCAGTATGATCAAGAGCATGGACTTAAGGTGATAATGAGGACACACACTTTTGCACCTATGATATAACTTACTGCTGTCTGTTCAGGTTCTTCTCCATATCGTTAGTACTAGATGCTGGCTAATATATCAGATGAATTTAAGAATGTCTTCTAAATGGGATCTCTCCGAGGAGATTTATGGGTAGGCCGCTCCATGATGTGATTAGATGCTTACTTCCCATCAAATCCTACTCTATATGTTAAACATTCTGGTCATGACATGGTGTTTACTATTGATACTGATTCTCCTAGCATATCTCTTCTCAAGCATGCATGAATGAAATATATGATGACTCTGCTATTCTTTCTTGATCTTGGGGCATTGATGTCAGTTGTCGCATAGAAGTAAAGGCAAGAAGTATTTTCTTCAGCACATCTCATTGACATGAAGAGCTTTACTATTGTACATGAACCTAAGTATTTGTGAGTGATGATGTTCATCTTGACTGGACAACATACAGTTGCCTGTTTGGTTGGCCTATCTAACTGACTATTACCAGACTATATGTTTCCATTGCCGACTTGCTGCCAGATGGTAACCCACTTTTTTAGTCACCACAGAGCCCTTAGTTTTTGTTCCCATTGTGTCATCAACGATGCTACTTGAATTCAGATCATAGGCTCATTGTCTCTCCATCTTCAAAGGGAGATATTACTTGATGACATTATTCACCCCGCAATTTCTTTCCACTTCCAAAGAAATACGCCCAGATTTTAAGATAATACTAAGTGTTTCAAGATTTTCATATATTTATAGATCTCGACATTGAGATGCATGAATATGAAAAAAAAAATGTTTTTGAGTCCCAAAAATAGTGCATCATGCAACACATTATCTGGACCGTCCGTTTTCAAGATTTTCATATATTTATAGATCTACTTGATTTTAACTATTTTTGGAATTTTAAATTTTCTAATTAGGTATGAAAATAGATTTTAAGATAGTACTAAGTGTTTTTTACAACAAAATTATATGTTATAATAAAATTTTAAGGTGCTCTTTAATTGGATTGTTTAAGGTTGCAACTGTATAGAAACCACACACATAGTATAATGTGACTCCATGCAGCACAAACAGTGAGGTGCAAGTCAACTCAATGATATGTTATTAACACCGACGGTTGAAATGGTAAGGCTGTTGACATCTGCTCAAGCAGAGGAGTGGTCTACCTCTATCATCTGTAGTTGATAAAGGACAGTTGAGATGTGTGCTGCATGCATCATAAGATACAATCCGTTGCATGAATTCTCCAGCTACACTTACAAGTACAAACAATTTATACATTTGTCAACCTCCTCTCCTTCAAACCGGAGCGTTCAATTTATATGTGCAGTGATTTGCACCAAGAGTTTATGTTTTTTGAGGGTTATTTTTGAAGGTTCATATGAAATCTTTTCTGCTAAGGTAATGATGATGGACAATATCTTTGATGTAGTGAAAAACTGAAAATCATTTCTTAAGTTATTTAGTGTTCTTTTTTTTTTTGACAAGGTTACATAGGATTGGAACTTGAGATGTTGTCCTATG